AATCAGAAAGATAACCTTTCTATATGTTTTCGGAGCAACAGATTCGGAAAGGAACCGGGGAACTACAAATTATCGTAAGATGAACCGCCAAAAAAAAGAAAGCTGTTTCAGTTCATCTATCATGGGAAAAGGCCCGAAAGGTGGCCTAAGACCGATGTAGCTGGAGGATTGTTTTCGAGGCCTTACGAGTAGCTTGTTTCTCCGTCAAAGGGTACATAACTGAGTTAGGATAAGCACGACAGACAAAACCTTGCTCGTCTTGACAAGTGAGAATATTAAAACATATGTACATGGCTGCACCATTTTGATTTCACGGTAAAATCTCAATAATAATCATTTTGAGTTGTCTACACAATCCTCAAGCTGCATTTCAAAACTGAGTTTATTCCACTAGTCATCTGATTTATTACTTTATATGCATCCCAGCTCTGGCCTTTGTTTAGTGTGCTAAATTTTCGTCTAATTCATAGGTACTTGTCTGAAATGCAATTGCACCACCTACCTCCAGGAATCTTTGACAAGAACACACAGCTAAGGAGTCTGTAAGTAACGTCATTTTTTTTCTGTCAAATCCGTGCTCCTAGATTCTTAGTGATGCAATATAAGCGTGAATAAGATTGACAAAATTTGCAAATATTTCATTCATAATATGTAGCTATTTAAGTACAAAATAAGTTCACCTTTAATTAACACTACTAGTCAACTTTCGCACCTGCAGAATAAGAACTCTAATCTCAGACCAGCTGCACAACAGTTCTACAGGCGTTGTCGTTGTCGTTGTTTTATTAAATTTACCAGATTATTCGTTTCGCTTCGCAAATTAAGAATTAATATCAAACATCATGAAGATCACATATCGACTGTTGCGTTCTGGATCTTTGTCCAGGAATAACCGTTTATGAGATTCCATCCTCTGTATAAAAGGCATCAAGAAGTGCCTTCATGAAATAAAAAGAGTATTCAAGTTTCCATCATTAATAAATTTCCATATATATGTCAAATGGAATTATGTTGTAAGACGCGTATAACGTGTGAAGTTAGCACAAGCAACCCTTCACGCGATGACGGCGATGCCGACTTTTGCTCACATTTCGAAACATCCCTAACTGTCCTGAACAAGTTAAAAAAAGGTTTCAGTAATACTGCTACCTAAACAGATAAACGTCTTGTGCATCTTAAAATATTGATCAGTTTTATATGGTAAATAACGCAGACGTCTGAATGACAACGACATGAAAGCATTGAATGGAAGTGTCTTCAAAAACCTGACATGGCTAGAGGAACTGTAAGTAAATGTATCAATACTGTTGTGGAAAGAATTCCTTATCCTAAAAACAAAATTATGGATGATAAAATTTACTAACTGCTTTGGCTGGATCAGGACATATCGTGATCTGCTGAATCATGTTGTGAAAAAAAAACAGAGGCAGATAATGATTTTATAGCACTGCATCGGGTTTGGGAACATTAGTCGATTGGTTAAGTTTTTATTGTGTTATTGATAAGGTAATATGCTGAATCGTATCTCTTCGTATTGCACTACATCCCATTGCGTTATATTGTATAGTCAGAGGTAATATATGGCTATTTTCTTTGCTGTGGATCAAATTATACAGCTATCAAAGAAAAACTGTTTTCATAACGCAGCAGCATTCCCCTCTCCTACTGCCCTGTCTATACTTGTTTTTCCATTTCATTTTTTTCTTTTCTCTTTTCTTCCCTTCCCGTCAGTGATCATAAGACAAGGCGGTAAATAAATGTTTCAATAAAACTAAATAGATTTTGCATACAGATCATATTTTTTTTCAAATTACAACACAGATGGTTGCAAGACAACAACTTCACTGAATTGCCTCCTGATTTATTCCAAGATCTAAAACTCCTAAGTCTACTGTAAGTTAACTCAAGTTTTCCCCTTGTTTAAACTCAATAACTGCAGAGAGTGTTCCAGCATTAATAAATTTTTTCCTCTCTTTTGTAAAATTACAGCTCGTGATTGCTTGTATATTTTTACACAGATCCTGCCAGTATCATACTTTTCTTTCCTTTCAGTGATTAAAGCATGTAACAAGAAAATGATCTAAAATCTTCCCATCTGCACCGATAGCACAGAAATTAAAACTGAATCATCCTATATTGTGTTTCCGTTGCTGAATTGACATTTTTTAGTACAAAGATAATACATACATTAAGGAAATTCATGCATGTTATGAATATCAGAGTTGTTTTCATTGGACATCTATCTCTGTTTTGAACCATGTTGGAATATTTTTTTTAGATCACGAGCTTAATGATCTCTTCATTGATACACGAGAGGCAGCCATTGTCTATGTTGGGGAAAAGAGTTCAGTGAATACGCAAATTTCAAGTTATTAGCGGCCTATAATTGCTTTTCTTGTTATAGATATTGACCAAACTAAATGAATGAAGAGACTCTTGAATATTTTCTGTATCATAAGACAAACATTGCATGTATATATATGACTTCATGCTGCTCTTTGGTTGGTTCTGATGACTAGCAACTTTATGTACGATAAATAGAATGAGAGATGGTAAGTTTTGATCTCAGTAAAGAAAATAGAGAAAGATGTTTTTCGTCTTGTCACGAGCGTGTAACAAAGAAAAACTTCTGAGTCCCTATGAGGAATTGAAAATCAGACCCTCAGAGCTCTATACTGAGCCACAGAGACTCTACGGTGGGCGAGGTCTATTACGAAGTCTGTGACACGCGTCCCGCATACTGCTAGGACCAGGATTGTCGATAGCATCACCGTAGATAATTTTTTCTTTATCCTACATTCGTGACAAGACGAAAAACATCTTTCGCTATCTTTATGTATTTTAACTTGGAAATTTCAGATCGCAGACTTAATGAAAATGCTTTTTTTTTGTCTCGTCATTCCAACCAGCCTTCTGTCAAATAACAAGTTGAAAAGTCTACCAGACGGACTTTTTAACAGCCTTTCCAAGCTGACACATCTGTGAGTGAAATAGCAATTTAACCAAGGAGATAATTGTGAAGAACCAAAGGATCATTTTTAAAATATTGTTTACAAAAGCATAGCCGTCACAGCTAAAAAATCATGACTTTTCCAGCTTGTATTTGTTAATCTGGTCAGTTGAATTAGAGGATGCTATTTTATGTGGTTGTTCTGCTTTGATTAGTAATGTTAAGGTACTAGGAGGTGTAAAAGTTCAAAAGCTTCTTTTTAAATAGGAGCCTTAACAACTCCCAGATTTGTTTTTTTGCAGGATAAAGTACCTTCTTTGTTGATAAGCTATTAACTAACGGCTGATGATGATAACAATAGCAATGATAATAATAGTAATAATAATGATGATGATGATGATGATAATAGTTGTAACGGAAAAGTAATTTTGCATTTGGATTTCATCTCTATGCCGCAGGTTTGTTTTGTTTTTTTACCTTTTTTTTGGCTTGTTTGTTTTACGATTTTACGGTTTTTGTGTTATTGAGGTTTCCCCAAAAAAAGTCGGGGAATGACATTTCCTTGATTTACCCGTTTTTCAATTTTGTATAAATGAAACATGTTTCATTTAATGTTTTCCCTTAAAAAATTAAACATTTTTTTATCGTAGCGTTCTTGGCAAGGATAATTTGCTAGGATCTTCTTGAGCTGGAATTTAAAACATTAACCTTTTTTTTGGGAATATGTCTGAGGGATTTAGGGGAAATAAACTGAAAAGGGAAAGCAAATGCACCAGTAAACAACATTTTCTGAGAGTTTAGTAGTTCCATCATAAGCGAAATCTTTGTAGCTGTGGTAATAATTGTTTTCAGGGATTTGTCAAACAATGAAATTGGAAATCTGCCACCGTATATTTTCAGGAACATTACAGCGGTAGAATTTCTGTAAGTAAGATAAATATTGGAATAAAAAAAAATTATTAATTATTTTTATAGGATTTTCTTGAATATAAAAGCACTTGATGAGTATAGAAGCTTCCTAGTTAATGACAACTTACTTTATAATTTACCTCTGGAAGGCCAAAGTTTTGTTTTCCTTGTTATCCGAGTTGACAATATCTAAGAATTTGTTGTATTGCAGGATCAAACTACCCTGGCACTAATGTTGTAATTTGTAACAGGAAGCGAACCAATAATGATTTTTTTTTCAACTTCAGCTTTAAACAACAGTCCTCGTTCGAGGCCCATGGGAATAAACTTGAGAGTTTTTGTGCTTAATCTTGAGATCATTATAGATATGTCTCATGTGTTCTTTGAAGATTAAGATATAAAGACTGGGAGCTATTTTACTGGAAAACATCGCCATTCCCTGCCTTAACTACAGAAGTTACCTTTAAAAAGCAGATTTAAAAATATCACTTCCTCATGAGCTAATTTCAGTCTAAACTGCCTATGATGCTCTCTTCAGGAAAATGGACTACAACAAAATTGAGAAACTTCATGAAGATCAGTTCCAGAGCTTGGTGGAGCTGTTCGATTTGTAAGTACACTTAGACCTCAAAATCTTTCTTCATGATGATCTGAATCGCACACTGTACACAGTAATATTATTTTAATGTTAACTCCATTATAGCTTTAATAAAAGTTGCCTTACCCAATCATGTTATGTTAATGTATTTTAAAATTTATTTCATTATCCATTCCACCTATTTAAGATATCTCTCAGAGAACAAAATCGAGGCTCTGCCTGACAAAATTTTCAAGGGCGTCAAAAACCTCAAAGCTCTGTGAGTACAGATAATCACGCACAAAAGAATTCTACAATGTTTGAAGTAATGGAATGAATATAATATAAGCGTTCAAAATCTGAGATTTTAGTCCAAAAATTTAACGTGATGTAGGACAGATATGGTGAAAGTTACCTTGTTCAACGAAGCAATGTTGTTCAATTTCATGTTGCACTAAAAATGTGCCTTTTAATATAAACAGAGGTGGATATCATAGAAACAAAAAGAAAAATTTTGGAGATCTGTTTAGTTTTAACGAAAAGTCCATGTAAATCTATTAGGACAAGGAATATGGCTACTGCAAGTCCCCGTTTAGGACCTAATTGTAAATGGTTACGTACTTCGTTTCAGCAATATCTTCGGCAATAGGATACAAAACGTTACCAGCACGACTTTCAACTATGCCCACGAATTGCGATTTTTGTAAGTTTACTGAGAATGACAGATGTTTATCTAGGCAACTAAACTTTGTTGAAGATATTGAAATCGGATAACTTGTGGGCGAGTATTCTTTTGATTTTGTTGTAAGCAAAGAAAAGACTCGTAAATGGTAGTTTTTGAAAATAACTTTGACACACCAGAGCAATATTTCCCTGGATGAGTCCGGAAAGAGACTTTTATACAGCGAACGAACTCAACCGAATGGGCTGCCACGTTCATAAAATCAGTAGCCATCAAAATTTTCCAAGAGAGCATGATGAGACCTATCTTGGGCTTAATGTTCAGATTTGAAAAATCTTTGAGAAAATATCATGCTAGGGTCCGTAATAAAAGTCCTCAGTTAGGGTTCTTTATTTTGTCCTTTTGGACAGTTTTTTTTTTACATTTACATTAGCTTGATGAATCTCATTCTTGAAAATTCATTTTTTGGA